CAGTTTTTCAGGAACATTTTAAAAATCTTAAAAACTCGAAATTATGATAAAAATGGATTACTTTTTAAAAATGATTATTTATTTTATTTATTTTGAAAGTGGTATAAGTTCTTTTTTTTAGAGAAATTCAAAATGCCGAATCTGAGCTTGTATTGTCTAAATACCCCACGCAACGCCACTTACAATTTCTTTCGATGACATTGGACTTACACCACTTTTAAAATAAACGGTTCAAATAAAAATCACAATTTTTTATTACTTTAAGTCAATTATAGGACATTCAGTTAATTTTGAAAATGGTCTAAGTCAATTCAAGTTTTAAAAACAACATTTTCCTATGAAATTCACACAAAATTTCATATCTAATAAAATTATAAATTAAAATGTCGCATAATGTAAAAATATTTTTTAATTTATTCAAATGCGATTCATTAAATATCTCGAAACAAGAAATATATGACTTAGACCACTTTCATAATTATGGGCACATATGAAAACTTTGACTTTTTTTAAATTGTGACACGTCGTTTTTCTCCAGTCACAAATACGGTCGCTTGTTAAGATATTCAATGACTTCGAATTTTTATACGTTAGAGAAACTAGTAATTTACTAGGCAATGTTTAACCAAATTTTCGCAAAAATAGCAATTGGTTTGCTGGATTTTTTAAAAATTATTCCGCTTTGAAAGACGTTTTCAAAAATATTTTAGCGAGAGTCTGTACGTTGTTGCATCGTTGTTTAACGGTTCGAAAATATCGGAACGATGAAAGCCACGCGATATCTTCCAAGTGGACGTAACATTCGGTTTTCAACTGGAGGATTGCTTAGATTTTCGATGGAGAAGAAATAACCATATTCCAGTGCATTAGATTGATGAAGTTATATAATTTTTCTCCTCGCTCTCCCTCGTTAATAAATTAGCGGCCGGCTTGCACGTGCCTAAGGCAAGAAGCTCGTTAGCCCGTCACGCGATTTCGCTTTCCGTCGTTCGCCTTCCATAATTTATTGCCACGAGTATCTTGCCTCTCGGTCAAATTGACCGGCGAGATTTGTTGCAAAAATTATCAGCCGCTTTGTTCGCACGCGTACAGATGACAACGGCTACTGGACGTATCTGGGCTCGTTAACCACGCCACCCTGCAACGAGAGCGTCACCTGGATCCTCTTTAAGAAGTGCATCGAGGTGTCCCATCACCAGCTCAATATTTTCCGCAACCTCCGGAAGTTCCCTCGCGGGGAGGAGTGTCCCTGCCACGAGAATCATGGAGTGGTAAGTGAATTCGTCATCTCTTCCATGCTATACTGGAATCTATAGTAGGCTGATCAAGGTCACTGAGACTACCGCACACGCGTTATGATCTTCGTTGTACCGCCTTCTTTCTTGCTTCGATCACTGCGGCAAGGTTTCGTTAATGAAATTCTTGAATCTCTTCGTTTTAAAACCGTCAGTCTCACACTGTGGAGATTTAAATACGCTATCGTGCAAAAAACTACCTGTAATACGTTCATTTTATTAGTAATTTTACTAGTTAGTAATTTTAAATTATAAAAATTATGCCACGTATTTATTTCTAACATTCCATTTACGGCAGCTTCTTGGATCGCTTTTCCTTTACCCTCTCGGTGCTGGCTAAACTGGAACGGTATAACAGAAGAAATATCTACCTCATATATTATTTTTATGACTTTATATTACACTCGTATTATATAAATGCCATTCGGACCTTATTACTTAAGTGTTGCCGCTCTCGTTCGTACCACGCACGAACTAAACATTGAAAGGGTTGAAATAAAATCGCAAGCCTGCAGAATATTACCTACTTGTAAAATATGACCTACATAAGGTACAGATTACTAAGTCCTTGGTAATCGATATTCATTGATTTACTTTTAGAAATTTTGCTGACGCTTTTGCGTTACGGGCCATAACGATCCGAATGTCATATAAACGTAACAATTTCTATTTCACGTTCACGCAATTAATTTTACAAAGAAACAACGTGCAAAAACGTGCGCTATTTTAAACTATCCAAAAGAAAAAAGACAAGCAAAGTCGATAAATTCGACTCCATTGAGATGGCAATCGAAAAAGTTATCCAAGTTCAATGCACAATCTCGACGATATTTTTCCGGAGCAACGCAGAATGGTTAAATTTACAACCGCTATCCGTAGCTGTGAACGAAATATGACTCTCGAAAATCGATTAAGCCGGAGCCGGCCACTTATCGGACACCTCGGTTCGATTAATCTCCATCGTGGTCGCGGGACAGGTCGCATGATTCGCGATCGGGGACACGATGCTGTCGCGGGTCGCCGGCCCGTCGGCCCGCCCGTGTCCGGTCGTTGTTTCGTCTTCGTTATTTTTAGCGGTGGCGTGACGGTCTCGAGTGAATTTCAAATCGGCGGAATCACGGCCCGGTTTCCTAATTCCGGCAACTGTACTCTTGGTTCCAGGTAATCAACAACTTCCGTCCGCCGTTGCCGCTGGGGAATCGCGTGTTACGCGAGTGTGGCAGCTTCTGAGTGCCGTCTCCCGGTTCCAAAGCGGCCGTCCGACCCGTTCAGGATCGGCGCCCTGTGCCGGCCACCAGGAACAGGAACTCGGAATCAGTCGATGCCAGTCGAAACGCGACCGGAAGGAAGCGACCGCCGCTCGTGGCCGCTCCTCGTCGCTCTTGATGGCTGCGCCTCCTTCCCTCCCCCAGTGTCTACCCCGTCGATCGATCGATCGATCGTCCTACCGTGTGCAATAGATCGTAAACAAACGAGGCGAGAACCGGCTCTTGCCCCGAAACCCAAACCCTGGACGACCGTTCGCCGACACGCGAGCATTCCGCGTCGCTTCGAGTACAAAGTGCAATTAACCATAGTTCAGACCAGAGGATTACTTCGCTTCAACGTAATCGTAGAGACTAGATTCCTAGCCGGGGACCCTGTCGGACACCATCCTGGACTGCTTCTTTACAGATCGGACCGAGAACGTGCCTATACAACTACATAGTATACATACATATTACCTGCAGCGGCCTCTCCTCGTTCGCGGCCACTCTCCATCGTTTCTTGAAACTGGTTTCACGGATTCGGCCTGAACTACCGTGACCGCGCGGCTGCGGCTCCTTATCTAACTCTATGTTTGTTTAACCCTTTGCGGACGAGGATCTTTCAAAGTGCTACGATTATTTCCCTCGGAGAACTGGATTATGCATCGATGACTTCAATAGTGCGAAAAATTAACAACGTATCGTTATTGTTAACGTAAGTGTTAACATAAGAGTTTTTGTTATGTACAGGATCGAACAACGTCTGCAATAAGATACACGATCCTGCTGTCGTCAATATGTCAGCTTTCGTCCTCAAAGGGTTAATTTGCAACCAGTGCAGTGCTGCGAGCCTTGAAATATTCAGGAAGTTCAATCTACGGTAGAACCTTGATTATTCGAGTAAAACGAAGGATAGCGAATTTTCGGATGATAGGATAGTTAGTTAGTTGCGATGCCACCCTAAATTTTTACCGATTTGTACAACTCATTTGTTGCGAATCGCTCTGATTGAACCTGTTCGCGTATGTGGAACGTGTTCGGATAATAAATAAGACATCGGACAATGTCTGTGTAACCGAGGATTCACTGTATTTGTTGATGTTGTTCTCGTCACCAAGTGTAAGTCACGTTTGACTCGTCGGTGTGCATTGTTCACGCAGATGTTTCTGTAATGTTCCCTTCTATTTCTAAATTGTGTGCAGCAAGCGTTTAACCCTTTGACGTACCATTTTCATCGCAGTTGCTGCGATTAGAAATTTTTCGATTGCAATGATTTCTTAGAAGGGAAAGAAAATTGATGTTTATCGTGTGGCTAAATTTACTTTAATGCTTAAATATTGATGACAAGAGATTAGAATTCTGTTCTAATTTTAAAGGACAGGATAACGTCTATACTCAATAAGTTAATATTAGAAATTTTCGGATTCGTCAAAGTTAATAATTATTTTGCTTCATTTGTAACTGGGAAAAATATTCAGTAGAATATTATATTATGTTATATAATATTATATAATTAATATAATATTTCACAGATCATAATTGCGTAATACAATAGCTTCGTGGTACTAGATAAGCTTCCGTGACAAGAAAGTATTTTATAATGAGGATTCGAGAATAATTACTTGACAATCCGTTCGGAGAATGTTTCAATTGTTGAGAACATTTAATGCAATCGAAGTTCGAAATTTCAAACTTAGCGACGACAATTCCGTTGAAACACTGCTAAAATATTGCAGCCAACAATATTTCATGCGCTTCTTTTATAACCTCGAGGGAAATATAAGTAACGATATGAAACAACATGAGTTTAAAAAGAAAAAAAAATATAAAATTCTCTCGTCACATGATAATAGCTATCTCGATCCGTGAGCGCGATACTCGAAACGATACAGAATTTTGTGTTTGCAATGATACAAGAAAGGATGGACAATGGAGAAGAAACTGCGCTGAATCGTGTACCGTGTAACATGAACGTTAGCAGGATACTTAAAATTTTTATAAAAGAACATTTTAAAGATGCATTGTGCAACGTCAATCGAAACCGAGAAGATCCGTCCATTATCGGCTGACCTCTTCGAAGTAACATAGAAGCCATTCAACGAAGAACAAGTATCATTTAATATTGTTACAACGTCCATATATAAACTTTATTGTATGTACATATACCTATATATGCGGTGTTCAAAATTAACATTTGCAAATACGTATTATTCGTGATGCTTTGCGAGACCGTCGGCCAGCGAAGACTATTCCAAACATCTTTCTGGATTATTTACTGTTCACACTATAGCGGCGTGTGTAAGAACTCTGTATAAAGTAACATTAATTCTGTAACAATAAGTCGAGTGTGCCTACTAGAAAATTAAATTCAGCGAAAAAGAATCGTGACAGTAGATAATTTCCTCTAAATTATATTCCCTCTCAGATCCTAAGTCCCTAACCGACAACGAGTCCGCAAAAGAAGCTTCAATTTATGATTACGTATTTTACTAAGGCTACTATTACACTGTTCCTCTTGATTCCTCCACGAAAGTACCATTTTCACCCTCCAAACGAAAGCTACTCCATTCTATTTCTCGCTAAATGGGTACTTAACTTACTCCAGAAAAGAGCTACTTTATTCCTCCGCGAAGAAGCTACGTACTTCATTTCTCTCTGAAAGAGCTAATCTACTATTCGACGAAAATGACTCGTGTCGGAGCTCTTCCAGCTGAAATGAAAACGAAGCGAATTATTCGCGCGATTTCGACAAGTCCTGTCAAAGAGTCATCGACAATTCGTGCACGCCAGCGTGCCTTCTCTGACAAGTTCGTCGTCATATCTGTTAATGGTCCAATATGATATACGTATACATAGACAAGTTGCGAGCAGAAGAGTCGAACAATGTGCGAAGCGACGATCGTATACCACCGGCTACATTAACGCATTGGCGCCCACAATCATCGAGTACTCCGACAAAGATGATTCCCGTCACGAATAAGCATCCGCATAGTTTCCTTTGCATATTGCAATTGTTATTTGACGCGTTTGACCGTCACGCTTCTGTCTCATTCGTGCGCGAGTGACGCGCGGCGGTCGATCCGTTGACGAATGCTTTTCGAAACTAATTGTAAGACTTCCACGACTTTCCTTTGCTTGGTTAGAATCGTTTTCTAGTTTACGAGATTTCTGTAACCCGAAACGTTGCGCTGTATCTGCTTTTGTAAACGGACGTTTCAATGTGTGAACATGTTTTGACAAGCCATCGTTTCTAATAGATCGATTTACCGACCGACAAGCTTATGTCAAGGTTATGTTTGCGTCTCTTCCGACAGAATAGAAATTTATGTCACCGAGTGTGTTAATTATTGTGTTTAGAATGAACACAGATTCTCAACAGATATCAAAAGAAATCTCCGATCGACGTAATGGTAGACAAGATTGCGTTGCGAAAATTCGTCGCGATCCGGACTCCCGTGAAACAAGCCTATAAACGGAAGCCTATTTGCACGCCGTTTGACCCTGTTCCGACTGAAGTAGCACGCGTGATCGCTATGGGTCTTCGTTACACCGAGACATCGAGAGAGTATCGGCTTTTAATATGTATACCAGTTCGAAACGCGTGCTCAAACTTTGCGACCACCGTCTTGTCCCTCGTACCCCCCGCTCCCTTTCCCGCTAGAACGTATATTTGACAGTTCAGATGTATTTCACAGACAAGCGACTACGGATGCCATCGTGGGTGCTCGTTTTTAGCATCTAAAGACGATCTTTCTTACGGGATTTCTGTGTATTTATTGTCGGACACGTGATAAGCAATCTGTATTTCTATTTCGTAGCATCGACTGTGATAACAGAAAGAATGTGTTATAAATAATAAAGTGGAGACGAGTATTCACGAATGATTTAGTCATTCAACGGAAACCTTACGGAATTCTGTAATTACGAATAAAGTGAATGATTTGTGCAAAGAGGATCTTTAACCAGTACCATCCATACCAGTGTTTTATTTCATTCAATGCCAAACTTACCGTGTCGGACAAAATGACCGGTTTCATATTTTCTGTTTTAAAATTGCTGACATTGTGCACTCTTTTGTAAGAAACGATTAAATAAATTCCTTAATTCCGTCATACGTTGTAATAACAATAGGGAAAAGTCTAAATAAATGCAGTATTGTTGTTTATACGAAGTTACGCATGTTACTCACTTTTAAAGTTCGGTAGGTTTAGTGTTAATAAATACCTATCAATCGAGTCGAGAAATACCAATAAGCAGTATAATTTAAGGGGATGATAAAAACAAGTTAATTCTTTCAAGGGATAGAAATCGATTCTTCGACGTCGTATTTGGTAACATTACAGTGTCTCGTAGAAAAATGAGTGCAGATGGTAATGATGTTTTTCGGTGCTAGATGAAAGAATTCCATGACAATTCTGACCATGTTGCGTGAAAGGTAATGTTTGCCGCTTTCGTTAAATTCTTTTGTTTTGGTGACTAATCCTATCCGTTCTGTTTACAGAACGCATTATCGACCAGCATGTAATTACACACCACATAACCTTGCATGAGCAAGCGCCACTCAGCATGTTCGTATATTTAGCGTTTTGCCATTAAAGCGCGTCTGGTTTCTACCGTTAATGCAATGGTATGAGAGCCCTCTTGAAAACCGGTCAGAGTGGACGATGCACCCTCGGATTCCTGATTGCGTTGCTGATACCTGCGCGTGTCGAACGGATTGAATTCTGTCCTGACGGAGACCTGTCTCCGAATCATTAGGATCTGATAGAACTAGTATACTTAAGATGTATATGTAAACATTGTATAACTTTTCTTTACAATATTCTTGAAGAATTTAATTCATCATTAATTCAACGAGGCCAAGCAATAGAAAAAGTCACAATCGACATTTTAAGAAAATACTTCTTCCATTACAATTATTTCTATCTCAAAATTGAAGTTATTCATGTGAACCCCTGTTAAATAAAAGAAAAGTCATTTGTTTCATTTATACAGCTTACGGATTATATTGATCTTTCTTATTATTTCTAAAAGTTTTAAAGATTAAAGTATACCCATATCGTCAATATTAACAGCACAATGAAGTATTTAGATTACAATTGTAACGTTATCACTTACGATTGAAAAATATAGAGAATCTGTCGAAATACGAGCGAATACATACTGTCGTAAAAGTTAAGTGTCACGTTTATTGTTGTCGTCGCATTTAAAAAGATACGCGCCGTTAAGTTTATCATGAATTGCTACTGTGGCAATAAGAATGATTTATTCCATAGGTATTTAACTAGTAATGGTGTAGTAGACTAACCTACATATGTATAATTTGCATATTCCGACGATAAACCACTACCAGAAGCTACGATTCAATAAGATGTGAATAAATATTTTAACGCTGATGAAAATAAACAACATTAAAAAAAATAAAAAATTTTAGAACTTATCATTAACAATTAATTAGATATTCGCAATCAACACTGGAAATATACAATTCCAATGTGATCGTCTTAACAATACGCAAATCCGATTTTACAATCATCGCAAGATATCACACAATTACAATTATATAAATTTTCAACTACAAACTGAATTATAAATAATTAATTAATTCTAATGTTACTTATCGAAATTTAAACAAGTACTAGGAGAAAAATTTCAAGATTCGGAGACTGGAAAACATCGGAAGAATAAAATATGTAATTAGGAAATGTATCACTTCCGCTGTGCTTTTTGCAATGGTGGTGCCATCAGTAGTAAGACACATAAACTGATAGATGCGACTGCGACGGTAATTTACAGCCGGTATAATAATTTCCAGAGGGTATTTTATCGGTAAATTTTTCTAACCGTAGACATAGACTTAGGACACAGATTTAGGATCCGTACAGACATTGCATCTTATGGTCTTTCCTGTCTCAGCTTTGCAGGGCTCTAGAGCCCCCTTGCAATCAGCATTACCGATAGTTCATGAAAAATGGGCACGTTAGCAAGAAGCGACTAGCCTGTATATTTCATTTTTACTACGAGTGCTGAATATTATTTGGCGCGAATATTTAAATGGTGGAAATAGTATTTACGAAACATGTGCTACAAAAACACGAAATAGTGTAATTATTTTTATGCACAGATAAGCAGTCATTTCTACTAATTGTATAATTAGTGACGGTTCATATATAGCAATAATTTTATACATTTTTTCTTGCAGATGGGTATATTTATAAGGTTAATCAATTCATAAGCTTTACAGTGATAGCATTCTTTTTAGGCCTTGGCCGTATTAGGAAATGTATCACTTCCGCTGTGCTTTTTAAATTGGTGGTGCCATCAGTAGTAAGACACATAAACTGATAGATGTGACTGCGACGGTAATTTACAGTAGGCATAATAATTTCCAGGGGGTATTTTATCGGTAAATTTTTCGAACCGTAGACACAGATTTAGGATCCGTACAGACATTGCATCTTATGGTCTTTCCTGTCTCAGCTTTGCAGGGCTCTAGAGCCCCCTTGCAATTTCATGTCGCGATCAGCATTATCGATAGTGCATGAAAAATAGGCACGTTAGCAAGAAGCGACTAGCCCGCATATTTCATTTCTACTACGAGTGCTGAATATTATTTGGCGCGAATATTTAAATGGTGGAAATAGTATTTACGAAACATGTGCTACAAAAACACGAAATAGTGTAATTATTTTTATGCACAGATAAGCAGTCATTTCTACTAATTGTATAATTAGTGACGGTTCATATATAGCAATAATTTTATACATTTTTTCTTGCAGATGGGTATATTTATAAGGTTAATCAATTCATAAGCTTTACAGTGATAGCATTCTTTTTAGGCCTTGGCCGTATTAGGAAATGTATCACTTCCGCTGTGCTTTTTAAATTGGTGGTGCCATCAGTAGTAAGACACATAAACTGATAGATGCGACTGCGACGGTAATTTACAGTCGGCATAATAATTTCCAGAGGGTATTTTATCGGTAAATTTTTCTAACCGTAAACACAGACTTAGAAGCATCTTATGGTCTTTCCCGTCTCAGCTTTGCAGGGCTCTAGAGCCCCCTTGCAATTTCATGTAGCGATCAGCATTACCGATAGTTCATGAAAAATAGGCACGTTAGCAAGAAGCGACTAGCCTGTATATTTCATTTCTACTACGAGTGCTAAATATTATTTGGCGCGAATATTTAAATGGTGGAAATAGTATTTCCGAAACATGTGCTACAAAAACACGAAATAGTGTAATTATTTTTATGGACAGATAAGCAGTCGTTTCTACTAATTGTGTAATTAGTGACGGTTCATATATAGCAATAATTTTATACATTTTTTCTTGCAGATGGGTATATTTATAAGGTTAATCAATTCATAAGTTTTACAGTGATAGCATTCTTTTTAGGCGTTGGAAAATGCCGGTTCACAACATCTTAAATTTAATACTTATTTTTATGTATCTTTCATTTTGTAATAACATCTTTCTATACTGGCGCGACTTTCGATACTAATCGCGACGCGGCGCAACGGTTCGATTTCCTTCCGCTCCGCGGAGCTCGAGTGCCGTATCGTAGTAACTGTATTCGTGGCGCATCGGAGCGTCCGCGCGCGCGCTTGTATCAATAGATTTCCACGTCTCCCATCATTGCTTTACGTTTGCAACGATGAAGCAACGATGTCGTAAACTAATATAGAAGTATAAGGGAAACAATTAAATTCCTATAAATTAATTATCNGTAAACACAGACTTAGAAGCATCTTATGGTCTTTCCCGTCTCAGCTTTGCAGGGCTCTAGAGCCCCCTTGCAATTTCATGTAGCGATCAGCATTACCGATAGTTCATGAAAAATAGGCACGTTAGCAAGAAGCGACTAGCCTGTATATTTCATTTCTACTACGAGTGCTAAATATTATTTGGCGCGAATATTTAAATGGTGGAAATAGTATTTCCGAAACATGTGCTACAAAAACACGAAATAGTGTAATTATTTTTATGGACAGATAAGCAGTCGTTTCTACTAATTGTGTAATTAGTGACGGTTCATATATAGCAATAATTTTATACATTTTTTCTTGCAGATGGGTATATTTATAAGGTTAATCAATTCATAAGTTTTACAGTGATAGCATTCTTTTTAGGCGTTGGAAAATGCCGGTTCACAACATCTTAAATTTAATACTTATTTTTATGTATCTTTCATTTTGTAATAACATCTTTCTATACTGGCGCGACTTTCGATACTAATCGCGACGCGGCGCAACGGTTCGATTTCCTTCCGCTCCGCGGAGCTCGAGTGCCGTATCGTAGTAACTGTATTCGTGGCGCATCGGAGCGTCCGCGCGCGCGCTTGTATCAATAGATTTCCACGTCTCCCATCATTGCTTTACGTTTGCAACGATGAAGCAACGATGTCGTAAACTAATATAGAAGTATAAGGGAAACAATTAAATTCCTATAAATTAATTATCAATGAGCGCACCATAATAACATCATTTATGATTAGAAAAGAGTAAGACAAAAATATATATATATATACAGGGTGTTCCAAAAATGTCTCGCATTACGGAAATGTGGGGTAGCTGAGATCATTCTAAGTAACTTTTTCCTTTGCGAAAATCCAATCTGCGGCTTGGTCGCTCACAACGTGGTCGCTCAATCGAGTGCCATGTGCTCCTACCACTGAGTTTGACAGCTGAAGGAGGACTCTGAGCCGCGTTTAAATCAATGAACAAGTCTCGGAGCATGAACTTTCGATATTTTTTTTTACCACGTGGCAGTGATAATTTTATGGAAAACGCTGTTCATCCTTATTTCAGAATGTCTGAAGAATATTTACTAATTTTTCGGACCCGAAATAATAAGTATGACAGTCGTTTTAATTTTCCGGTGTGCATGACACCTCACGTGTGCCATATGTAATTTTTATGCAAGTAAAGATTAACAAAGTTCGTAAATGTTAATTTATTAAATTTTAATTTAAATAATTCCGTGTCCGATCACAATTTAACGAAAGATTCGCAAATCTAATTTAATAAATAATAATCGCGTTATATATATATAAAGGTCGTAAGGGATATGTTTGTTACAGAAATATGAAGAATATCAATGAGAAACTCACCCATTTAGTTGTAAATCGACCTCGTACAATGTATGATGAACTGCATAGCTGATCTGTATCCGACGGCGATGAACAGAAGGATGTTTCCAGGCAGACTATTCCAACGATCACTTTCACTGCATTATCACTAAACATTGATCGCATATCAATAATATCTGCGGACGAACTTTTCTGGATTAATATGTATGGCCCCGAAAATAGCCGATTTTTTAATGCGACGCGTTCAAAGTTCGTGTCGTTAACAACACGTACTGCGTACGAACTGCCGCAGATTGGCACGATCTCAGCTACCCCACATTTCCGTAATGCGAGACATTTTTGAGACACCCTGTATAATAACAAATAATACTGTGAGCATTACTATGTTTATCGGGGAACTATAGCAGATTATACACCTATGATTCTACCAATGGTACCATCATTGGTTGTTCATTGCATCAATGAAGTGGAATTACGAGGAATGAGTGAACCAGGGTTATATAGGGTAAATGGTGGTACAACAGAAGTAAAATGTCTGAAAGAAAAGTTCCTGAAGAGAAAAGGTGCTCCCAACCTTTCTGAGGTTGATATAACTACCATATATGCTCTACCCGTAAAGATTTTCTCAGGTATACAAATTTGAAGCTAACAAATATAAGGCAAAGCATTTATTACTATCTCTTATCACCAGGTGTTTACGGGAACCATTAATTACTGTAAGATTATGGGCGGACTTTGTTCGCGCCACTACTATTAGCGATAAACAGGATGCCGATGCTGCTTTATATCAGGCGATTTCAGAATTACCACAGCTTAACAGAAATACTCTCGCTTTCTTAACGTTACACTTACAAAGACTATCAGGCAGCCCTGAATGTAAAATGCCTATAAGAAATCTGGCCAAAGTTTTTGGACCCATACTAGTGGGTTATAGTTGCCAAAACCTATCGCCAGCTTCTTTGTTCACAGAAACCAGAAATCAAGTTACGGTAAGATCCCTAATAAGACAAAATGCTTTAAGTGGAAATTAACAAATATTGAAATTTTTACAGGTAGTTGAAAATCTGTTGAAAATCCCTTCAGATTATTGGGCAAATTTTGTCAATCCTGAAAATTTAAGTAATCTTGTTACTCATAAGACAGCCGAGCTAAGATATACACCACCTAAAGAATTTTTACTCAAACGTAGTACTTCTCGCTGCTTCTTTAATACTCCTCTTACTTCTGGGTACGTGTTCTTTTCTTATTGCCTGTAAATAATTAGTTAATGTATATTTTTTGTGTCTGTTGCAGTCGAACTCTTATGAGGAAAAATAGAAAAAAATACTTTGCAACACCTCCCTCTAGAGCAGGTTTTTAAAAAGGATAGATATGTATATGTTACTTAAGTCGAGGTACAAATGTCTCTGAAATAATTGTCGGTTATTTAAATATAATTATACTTCAGTATTTACAACTGTACAACGCAATAATTCTGTTTCGTTCAAAAACTTCAATATAACTTTACATAGACTGATGCTAAAAATAAGTTCTATTAGATTCCTATTTTTTATGTGACCCGTTTGCCGTTACCTGTCATCCGTTATACGTTCCTCCGTTCCACCGTTACCCGTTACCCGTCATCCGTTATCCGTCCCTCCGTTCCACCGTTACCCGTTACCGTTCATCCGTTACCCCGTTGCCCGTTACCCGTTACCCGTCAACCGTGGCTTCTCTTTACAAAGAAAAATAAAATCCCAATTCAAGATTCGTACTACAAAACCATGTATCCGTCTCGAATTGTCGGTAACTGTGTCTTCTACTTTTATCATCTCGCTAGGGAGTCTAGACCCATAAGTATTTTTCCGCTATGTTGATTGGCGTTGGACGTACCTTGCTTACAGCATCAAGATTTCTCTACAAGGGACGCCACTGTTGCTGGACTAGTTGCACATGTTGATAATTAATGTTTCCTATTTTATCGACAATTTATAATTATCGAGTAAGTTTACTTTAATCAGCATCTTTTCCAGCATTATTCGTTACAGGTAGATGGGTACAATGTCGTCTGACTTTCATCGACAAAAATGATCGATATTCTGATCGTCATCAATTATTATCTTGCGGTTAAAGACTTATATTATAAAATTGTACCTAAAACATTAATTATCAACATGTGCAACTAGTTCAGCAACAGTGGCGTCCCTT